AATCCTTTCATTTATTATATTTAATTACTTAATTGTCACACAAATTATAAAAGATAAAAAGAATATTTTATTCAAGGTGGCCTTCCACTATCTTCTCAAAGGGACATGATAGCAGAGAAAATTGTGACAGTATTTCTCTTTTTTAAAAAAAAATTTCCATTGCAACACATAAAGAATGTATAAAAGGAAGCATAAAGCTGTATGTAATTCCTGGCCATTGCATAACATCCCCCTTGTAAAACAAAGTGCAGGATAACAATGCAGTTATTTCTCTCAGCCAGTCGATTTTCAGCATATTGCTTTCCAATCATGTCTCCTTTGCATCCACAGTTTCACAATGCTTAACTATTCTAAGAGGACAAAATGTCATTAGCTCCAACAAACGTGACTAGAAATAGAGACTTTAAAAGGCTTAAAACAAATTCCTGCGTATGAAGACATCATGGCCATGCAATGAGATTGCTGTCATTGCCTTATTAAATAAGCTGCTACTAGAAAAGGAAGAGGTCTTTTATTCAGTACAAAAGGTTTCTTGAAGAAATCCGATACTTTTTCCTTTCTAAAATATTTTAAATGTATACAATATTTATGTCAGGAGAGATTTGGAACCAGTTTTGCTAAATTAAGAACCAGTAGAAGTAACAGAAGAGAAAAATCTGCAGCTCAGGGGTACGTTGTGATCCAACAAAGGAGAGTAGACAAAACACTGATCCATTACTTGTTTAAGTTGGAAAGTTATTTTATTATGTTTCCTAAAAAAAAAAAAAAAAAAAGAATTGCTACCTTATTTACCAAATTAGGAATGTCTGGTAAGGTTAGTTTATTGAAATGTTTCTTTCACAGAGCTAGGAAAGCAATATACTATTTTTCATAAAGGAAAAAAAGCAGTCAACTCTCAAATTCAGAGCACCATGTATATAAAGTAGGAGAAATATTAAAAAGAAAAAAAGGCATGATTTTGCTTACGTATTTGAAATGTAGCTAAATTTTAAAAGGTCTTATTAGAAATCTTCCTCAAGTATTATATTTAATATTTACCTGATTTTTAAATACACAAAGTAGTACTGCAATTGCATATAGGAAGTACTCACTCTCTTTAAATGTGAAATTTGACAATAACTCTGCTGACATGGTAAGTAAAAAAAAAAAAAACCTACTCAATAATTTCTATTAAACATATATCTACTTACTTTTATATAGTACATGATAAATAACAGCAAAATAAATGATTGAAAACATGAGGTAGTCATAGTATATTTGTGAAAATATAAATAAAAGCAAAGATGCCAAGTAACGATGATTTTGGAGAACATCAGAAATAAATTCAAAATTCATTTAGGATTAACATTCTGGCTGTTTTCAGTATTCTCTATTAAGGCTACAAACAACCTCTGTTAGTTTAATTTATCGTGGGGTGGGGGCTTATTGCTCCCTATTAAAAAAACAAGTATCCCGAATTATGACCAATAATATAAACAATATTTAGGCTTCTCTAAAATTACTATCTAAAAATCTTTGTAAAAATACTGAACAAGATAAATAACTCAAGATTTAAAGACAAATCTTTAAATCTCAACTTATATAAAAGGTGTGTTCCTGAAAACAATATAAAAAGTTGCTATTATATCCATGGAAAATTAAGTCACTTTATTTCCTTTTGAGAAGGGTATTAAAACACAAACTATGATGGGATAATTAATAGTTTGGTGTAGGACTGGCCTTGAGTCTATTCTTTCCACCCTAATACTACCTACAAATCAACTTTCTTCAGAAATGGTGGTTTGAGAAGCCTCTCACGGAACCATCCTGTTCCTACCTCCCTAGAAAGGCTGGACTGGTAGGGTCTGTTGAAAAGGAAAACACCAATCATAACACTGCATCAACTGGAAATTTAGGTTAAGAAACTCTATTTAAAATGCAAGTATCACCTTGCAGCCAATCACTTTGATTGATCTAAACACCTAGCTAAGAATGCAAAAGAATTAACACTTTACTGGGAGCTTTGGGGAAGGAAGACAGAAAGGCAATTCTGAACTATGTCCATGCCTTGGTGAAGAGTCTGGACATCAAGAGAGGAGCAGCAGCAAAAGGACCCATAGTGATTGAGTAGAAGTCAAAGGAAAGAAGGTTGAGGACTAAGTGCCAGAATGGAGGCAAAGACAGTTTTAAACACACTGTACTTTTGATTTAGTACTACTGAACAACAATCGAGCCAAAGCAAATATTTACAATGAAACATTAGGCATGCAGCTAAAGGTTGTCATTGTGAAGTAGAATACCATAAATGTTGAAACAGTCTATGCACTGAATGTTATATACAACTACTGTAGCTTGAACTCATGCAACTATGGGTCCAATTACACATGTTAGTATTAACATCTCTCTTTAATACCAAAAGATTGATATGGAATGTTCTATTCTACCCATGTCTATGTGTACTAATATAAAGAAGCGATCAGGAGCTCCTACAAAAAATGATTCAATTAAAAAACTAGTTTTGTAGTAAGAAAAGGAAATCATAGCTTACTATTATTTAAGGTATGAATACTTCTTGATTTTAGTCATTAAAGAATCTTAATTAAGCATCTAATGATCATTTCCTATAGGTACAGTGACCTCTTGTGAGGGAGGAGCAGTATCTACTGTAGAAGCAAAAAGTGTTGCTTCAGTAATACTAAAGCCAATTGAAGTAATATATTTTAACCCAGAAAGCCAGATATTAAACTATGATAGAGAAAAGAAAAATATATAATAGAGTTTGCAAAGTACATTCTTTTCACAAATAATGTTTCTACACAGGAATGGTGAACTGCTTGTAAAATGCCAGTATTGTACAAAGAAAAATCTAAGTTATTCACTCAGCATTTAAAGATCTATATATGATTTTCTGCCAATAATACCTTTTTTGGGCCAGTTTTGAAAGTATCTGTGGTTCATGTCCCACAAATTTTACATTAGAAAACAGGAGCTGAAGACAAATCATCATTTAAAAATATTTCCTTTAGGCTAATTGCACAGAAAATAAGCACTGCCAACATTTCTATTCCCATCAACATGGGCACTTAGAAATTCATGATTCAAGAAAGGATAAAACAGAGGGCTCCGAGTGAGGGCTGCTGATGAAAATCCAAACATGGAACTCTAACCTCTGAAGGCATAATTGGCTTATGGTAATGCCACATGTTAAGCATTCACACTTCTCTGTATACTTTAGAAAAATGAGTGCATATTTTTAGGGAATCTAAGTAACTGATACACCTCTCAACAAAATTAGAAAAACTTCTAAAGTCCTATAGTTAATACTATAAAAAATGCAACTGATCTTACTGTTAAAATATTCTGATGGGAATACAGCATGGTAATTTTTAAATTATAATTTACAGACAGCTAATAGAAAAAATTATAGCTAAATAGGTGCAGTTCTTCCTGTCAAGTGTTCTTTCTATAAAGTGTTCTACAAATTTACAAAATTTTAGATATGGAACACTGCGTTGCAGAGTCTACAGAGTCATATTTTCTGCTTTTTCTAAATCCTAAGGCAGTATAGCATTCTCCGTACAATAATTTTCCACACTGAAACCACAGAGGAACACTAAAGTTTGTGAAAAGCATTACCTTTTAATCATGCTACTTTATGGTGGTAGGTTGCACCCTAGATACAAGGGAAGTAAAGTGAGAAAGTGTTTGAATTCTTTGTATGTTGAGTTCATCAGGGAAAAGTGTTTTACAAACACAAGCTGTCGTGTATTTTAGGGGGACAATGAAAAACAATTCTCAGACCAAAAAAAAAAAAAAAAACCCTAGTTTTTAAGATAGTTCCTAATGTCCATTATAGTATATCAGTTACTGGCATTCAACCATTCAAATTTATATAAGAATTACAGTACTTAAGAGAAGTACAAAGAAATACTTTTTTAAAACACAGGTATATAAATTAATGAAGCTGGAATTTAAAAGATTTAATACAAGGGAAAAAAGGTGTTATATAGTGGTACCAATTCTTAATACAAATTAGTAAGCATAGTTTATATAATTTTCAAAAGTTATTCACATTATTGCTCGATACCACAGTTGTATGGAACAAGCTCTTGACAGACATTGAAATTTCTATCATTTGTTTATAAAAACAAAAATTTACACATTGGGCCATTCAGAAATTTGTAAAGTTTTAAAATGCAGGGAGAAATATACAACCAAAAAGAGGAGGGGTATGTCTGTATATATTTAAAAGAACGAGCTGAGCTGACTTACTTATGTGTCACATTCCCAATCAAAAAAAAGTATACATAACTGGGCTGAAAGCAAAAGTAGATAAAAACAGTACTAAATATGCCCTCCACTTTTTAATAATAAAGTTCTAAATATCAATGGGGTAATAAACACCATTATCTTTCATTCTGGAACTTTTGCTTTCTTTCAAAAACTTTTCAGAAACATATCCATTCTATAATTGTGTTAGACTGGGAGAAATACTTAGAATTTTTTTAAAGAATTATTTCCATACTATTGTATATAAGATTTGATAAACAATAAAAAATAACCCAAGTAAGGCCATCATTAATATCATCTCGATCAAAAATATACAGATTGGGATGCTACTATATTTTGTGAACCTGAGCTCTAGTTACCATTAGATGCATGCATACTATTCATTGTTTTGCCTATTCTAAGAAAAATAATTTAATCCTGCCTTATTACCTTTGAAGACAGAAACACTTGCAAAATTTTTTGATAGGTCTTTCTAATGTTACAGATATTCTGCTGTAAACAGAGCATTAAGAACTGTATGAGAAAGGATATGTTAAGTTCCAAAAAGCTATTAAAGAAATCTTACTATATTAAAAGTAATGACTATGTTAAATTTAAAAAGAAAAATAATACAAAGAGTGTGCTTACTAAAATAGATAAGTAGAGGCTTACAAAGGTGTTTTTCTGTGTTAAGGAATTAATAAATAAAGGGCTGTGTGTTCCTTGGTGATAAAATAAAAAAGGCTGGCCACTTTTTATGCTAAGTTCAGATGTATTTTTTTTTGATAATACAAAAAAGTACTCCTTGAAAATCAGAATACATAGCAGAAACAAGCACAATAACTTAAGTACTAAACATCTGTATGAAATAACTGTTGCAAAGTTTGACAAAAATGCACACTTAGAACATGCGGTTATTTAAAAAAAAAAAAAAAAAAAAACAACCGGGGGGAAAAAAAACCACACAATTCTGTAGAACCAATGTTATGTCACCACCAGGAGAGCACCAAGCAAGGCACCATTGGAAAGACAACATACTTGGAAAGTCTCTATAAATAAAGTAAATGCTAATCTGGTCGAAAAATCGGTGTCTTTGGTAAAAATTCTATGAGGATGACCTGTAGAAGGAGGGAAAAAAAAGGTTTTAAAAAGATTTCAATAGAATTTTATCTTAACAAAACTTCAGTTATATTCCAACATTTATAACAATTTGGTAGTGCCTTTGACATATCAAAGGAAAATGCACGTGAGTGAATGAGAAAAGGAAACTAGCTAGTATTTACTGAGATCTAACCACATACCAGGCACTTCATAATAGAGATCCATTTGATTTCAACAATTTTTCTTTGAGGTAAGTATCAGCATCCTCATTTTATACATGAGGAAACTGATGATCTGAGAACTTTACCACCATGGACTGTGTTGTCAGTATTTGAACAAAAGACAGTATTAACTCCAAAGCCTTTCCCTTTCTACAGCACTATGAGGTTGCAGTTGACCTGATTTTTATTTCTTCAGGCTTCCTCCCTTTTATCTAACCCAATTTCATGGGTCCTTATGTTCTAGATTAGCTCTCATTTTACTGTATCAGGATATGTGCTCTTTTTAGATAAAGAGTTTTGGTCCTTTGTCTTAATTTTTTTTAAGCCCTTTTCTTCTTAACTAGCAAAATTCAAGTTAAAAATCTGTTCCAAAGGACTTTTTAATAGGGAGATCAACTAAAAGGAGATCAACAAAAACAAAAGTAACACAGAAATACAAAAGTTGACCAAAGTTCATTTTCATTCCCAATTTGAACTGTCTTACATTATAATCACGTCTTTACTTTGATCCAACTCTATATGGAACAGATGCTAAATAAAAAAATTATTTGAATAGGTTTCCATGTTTGGTGAATCATTCATTCTTTTAGAAACTGTGTCTTAATGTAACCTCCAAGTGTGAACACTTTTCTATGTTTCTCTGGCTAGGCCACGAACTTTCATTTTCACTCTTCAGTTCTCCATTCTGCTGGGTTGTTATTTACCAATGAACTATTCACCAGCTTTCTATTTCATTTCTTTGAATTGTACCCCAATTTTCTTCAGAGTTTCTTCATATATAAAATAAAGGGACTGAACAAGATAGCAAGATGCTTTGCAGCTCTAAAATCTGATGACTAAATGTCTAATGATGATTGAATGCAAATCCACATTCAATAAACTCTTCTTTATTTCAAATAAGTCCTCAATTAAGCAGTTCTTACAATTTTGTTTAATACCTACACATTTTATAGTATATACTACATAATGCAAAATTATATTATCTTTGACTATATCTGAATCATTATGTTTTTATAAATATATCCTACACATACTATTTTCTACAGTAGCCACACATAGAAAGTGGCTGCTAGTCTCATTTCTTCTAAATCAAACTGTTACACCATATTTGAATAAAAGTTGTCATCAAGTTGGTAGTTTTGTAGATTGCCTGATATTCAAAATATAATCAAGAAAATATTTTTCTTTTCTTGTTAAAGAAGAAAAGTTCAATGCATCAGCTAAGAAAGCACTCCTATCTTCTTGCATTACTTGTTATCTTAATTTTTTGTATAAATTGTTAGGAAGTTTTGAAATTATATTTTTCCCTCATTCAACTATCACAAATATATACACTGAGAAAATTCAGAAAAAATACTTTTGAAAGCAATTTAAAATTTTTTTTTACTACTCTTCAGGAAATCTTTTATGATGGTATGAAAAATAATAGCTCTAGAAGTGTTCAACTATCTAATATTTCATGATAAACTAAACTTTTCAAAGTAACTTCCTCAGAAAGTTCTGAAAGTCTAGTACATTATTTTATTTTTAGCTAATAAGGGAATGTCATAAAAATAAACATGGAATATAATAAGTTTAGTTTATGAATGAATGGCATTCATATAGCGCTACCTGAAACAACACTGGGAATAACTTCTATGTTTTCCTTACCAAAGTGAATCTAGAAACGTGCAAAAAAAAATTTCAAGTTGCAGTTTTAAATTTGGTGTTTTTATAAATATAGCAGATACTTTTTAACAAAATCTTGTAAATATCCAACATATTTATCCCTCCCTCCAAAATAAACTTTCTTATCATCTAAGATGAAAACAGAAGACTAGCATTTTCATAGGTCAATGTAAAAACAAGTTATTTGAATGTGCTTTTTTATTATAAAGAAGTATCAAGTGTCTTTCTCATCATCATAAATTAACATGTTTGAAGATATAATAGATAATGATAAAATCTACATTTGGTTCACTGAATAGAGCTATTCTCTGGGGAAAAAAAAGACATTTTAAAAATGTCTTTTATGTTCAAGGCTAGAAATGGGATTTGACTGTATGATAATGAAAGAAAGGGAATGCTAAAGAGAAAAATGATTTTATGATAATTTCCAACTATTTAAGCACTGTTTTAATCAATCTTTTATACACACACACACATATACTATGTATGATGGCTATATTGTTTCAAAGAATAGGAAAAAATCATCAGAACTGATGTGCCATGTACTTCACAAAGGCTATGACTTTAGTTTTTCTTCTAATGTATTAACCTTGGTGTACTGAAAACAAAACACCCAAGCTCAAGACAGAATAAAATTCTTAGTTTTCTACGGTATTCTGAAATTTTCAAAAGGAGAGAAATTGTTGAAGTAAATCAAAGAATAAATTAAGTCCCATATTGAATAAGTTCTAAATTTATTGCATACATATGCCAATTTTGACATCTTTTAAAGGATAAACAGAATGAGCAACTTCTTCCCCACTTTGAAAGATAATCTTTACAAAACAATATTCTAAAAACACTTCGAAAGATTCTTTAAAGTCTACTGAGATGGGCAGTTAAAATCTATAAAGGCTAAAGGTTTCTTAAGCTCGAACGGCTTGGCTGAAAGGTTTTCTTCCATACTTGGAAACTTGATTAGCATTACATAAAAAAGCCATATCTGACTTGCTGCGTAACCAAAGTTGTGATTATTCTTTATACAGCATCTAAAATTTCACACTCCATCAACACATGTTCAGGCTATTTTATCTTGGCAATTAATTTATTATTTTTCAGAACACAGTGAAGCCTTGTTTTCAAGTCATTCATAACTTTATAAATCAGTCCTGCACATGAAACCATGCATCTGTGAACCGTAGAAAATCCTTGCGCTCAGGAGATTAAGCTCCTGACACCTTTGCTGATTAATAATCATGAAAAGAATAAGATCAGAAGCAAAATAAATGATCATTTAATAGAGAAACTCACAAAACAGCCCTTTAACTTACATATTCCATCATGTTATTCGTTTCACATTTCCTTTTGCTCAGTCTCCAGTGCAAGCACAGCTAGACACATAGGAGAGTAAAAGAAGAAAAATGAGCTCTATTTTATTGCAGTACACAGACTAACCCATTTGTCCACCTTTCATATTTTTCGTTCAACAAAAGCATCTGTTTCCATACTGTGCAATTCAGGCCCCAACAGTACGAAGCTGCTCCCTGTGGTACTCACCTTGTGGTATAACCTATTGTTTTCCCATTCTAATAACTTCTCAATCGATCTTCGTGTCTAGAAGACAAATGAGAAAAAAGTTTACTCTTGACCGGTTTTAGAAAAACTTTGTTTTGCAGCTGCTTTTTGTGTGAAAAGGAAAACAGTGTAAGACAGTGACTTTGTATAGGGTGGAGTATGACACTGCCAACATTCAAGCACCATGTACATAATAACCTGAACAGCAACAGTATTCTTTTTATAATAAAGATATGGTTGTTTTTTAGCATATGTATATTTTTCTGTTTCAAATTTACCAACATTTGATTTTCAAACTACCATAGGCTAAAAAGCTAATGTTATCTACCAAATAATACATAGTTAAATCCTCATTCTTTCCAAAAAGTTTATAATACTTTATAGTAGTAAAAATTCCTTAGTATATATTGTTAAACAAAAATCATTTAAATATTAGTTAACAAAAGACAAGAGGCTTTGACAGTAAATTCAAAAAGGAAACAATTAAAACTAACTGAATGAAAATAATTAGCCATCAAATTTTTATGTTGTACTGAAATAATGTCTGAATTTAAAAGTTTATTATTTCATAGTTTTTTAAACAGAGGAAAAATTTTATTTAATACCCAGCAAAAACTGTCATCTGATAATATAATAAAACTCTTAACACTAGTGTTATAGGAATCAACTGAGAATTTTACATTAAGATCACTTGATTATTGCAGTATATAATATCCAGTATAAAATGCTTCTTGCTTGGAAGTATGAATAAAGGAGAGGATAATTCATGATGCCAGGTGTTAGGATGAGACTGACTCAGCTGCAGGTGCAAAAAGGACAGTGTTGCCACAGAGTCAAATGCAACTTGGTGCAGCTGCAGTTTCCTTACAAGGCAAGAGAAAAAACATCTAGTGTTATTAATGTGGTACAACTAAATAAGTAATAATCAAATATGAAAATGTCCATGTCAAGCAAGAATCAAGAATTGTCACAGAATCAAGTTGGCTTGAGACAGTTTAATGTTAGTATTTATTTAACTTATCTGCTGTAATCTAGTTACCATGTTACCTTTTATAGCAAGTTGAACATGGTAAAGACACATCACAGCTACAAAAGTGACGATTACAATTCATAATGACCAATGAGTTACTTCGACTGCCTTACATTTTCCAAGTTTATGCCATAAAAATCAGGAAATCAACTAGCGCTCAGGATAATAATACTTCAATGACTAATTTATTACATTACTTTTTCAACAGTTTTTTGGCAAGAATTTTAAAGAAAAAAGTGCCCTTGTTAACAATGATCAGCAGACCTCACTTGTTTCTTTGTAAAGATAGCCTTTTAGAGGCAGCTCTCCTTTTAAATGAAAATAGGGCAGCAGTTATGGTCACACTTTTTGTTAATTTAGTTGCCAGTCAGCCCCAAATCAAAAGAAAATAAGGCTGCAGAGTGTAATTAACATTCAGTTCAGTCGTTTTGTCCCTTGTCTAGCCCCCAAGCTTTGTTAAAATTGCCATCTGAATGCTGAAGGCTGTAGGGAAATCGATTTGATTCTAATCGCACCATGAAAAGAACATGATCTAACTGCTTTCAGCCCTCCGTAAATCTGTACTAGGTCTTTAGCACAATGCAACTTCCAATTTAAAAAGCACTGAATGTCTCGTCAATGACTTTGTGAAGAAAAAAGAACAAGGAGCAGACATAAAAATTCCAATAGTTGTTTAAGCATTAAAGTTCATTTGCATCACAGCGAACCTGAAAAGGGCTGACCTCTCAAACCGCCTCTCAGGTCTATGAAGTTGTAGCCTTGACAAGCTCACATTGACAGAGCTCATTGACTCTGAAAGGCTACTCTATCAATGGTGAAAAATGGCAATAGGTTCTACTCTGAGCAGGCATCTGCCTGCCCACCCGCTGCTAAACCAATGGCAAAACCGATTCAAAACCTGAATCTACCTTGTAATCTTCCTTTCTAGGACCTTTTAATAATAGATTAAGATTACTATACAATTTGAGGTTTTACTTTTACCGATGGTTTAAAAGGGAGGAGGGTGGGATGAAAGACCTAGGGTGGGGAGAACAAGCTTTCCAAGTCTGTTGTTTTATGTCAGTGTACAAAAATTAAAAGCTTAACATTACATGCTACAAATATTTATTATCCAAAGAAAAAAGTGTAGTTACCACCACTGTTAGTTCATCACAAATTTAAGGCCATGCTATATTATAATGAGGATATCCTTATAAATGGGGGTCATAGTGTATGTGATATAATCTATATATACACACAGTATATATGTATACACATCATATATATGTGTATTTATATATACACACAACTGAGAAACTTAAAACTAAGACTTTAACGTAAATCAACTACCAGTATTTGAATAACAAATAATTACAAAGTACAAACCTTAGTTCTAAAATATGTAGGAATTCTGAATTTATTCATTGCCTCTAATTAGGAGTTTAATGATAGGGTTTGTTAAAATAATTGTATCTTACAATATTTAAGAATTCTAAATCAAACAAACCCTGGTATGCCATATTCTGAGTAAGCATCTAAATATAAAATATTTCTACACACTTGACAGTCTGGAGTAAAAGCTGTGAATTAGCACCATCTAATCTTGCAATAAGACTTCTATCCTGCTTGACAGGTGAAGGAAAAAAAGCACTTGCACGTGCAGCTTAATTAATCATTACACTTGACATCTCAATGATTTACAGTGAGGAGCAGGTGAGAACATACAAAACCAGAATGGAACCCTTGATCTGAGTGGAACATTTCTAGCACACTAAGGTGACAAGAATATAGATTCTAGCAGTCATTTAGAGAGAGAGAGAGAGAGGGAAAGAGAGAGGGAGACAGAGAGAGAGAACTGTGCAACAAATTATTTGTTAGTAACAACAAAAGCTCAAATTAAATGGAAGAAAAAAGCCTTAACTACTAAGGATGTTTAATACTCTGTAATTACTTTTATTTAACAAAATCAAAATATATTTCTAAGTTAAAACACAATACCAATTTGATACAGACAAAATATATGACACTTAAGCATTTAAAAAAGCAATTCAAAAGTCTTTAAACACAAAATGAAAGCACCTTATAATTAGTTAAAATAAAAATTAAAAGTTTATGTCCACAAGATTGTCAGATAGCTATTTATAATGAAAAGCATGATTCAACAATGCCAAACTCTGTAATTACTATTGGGCAAGCAAACATAAGCTTATAAAAACCTGTTCTTAATTTTAAAATCTTATACTGACCAAGAAATTCAACATAAATTAAACCAATATGCATCAGAAAAGAATAGTATATATAGGGTCTGTTGACATGAAATAGTAACAAAACATCATCTTTCAGCATTCTAGACTAGTGGATTTCTAAAATAAGTCATCTTAATTTTCTTAAAAGAATTTCGTGTTTGTAAAAAGCACCAGATTGATAGTCATGGGAACTAAAAATCTTCTATTTAACAGAAAGAACAGGGGAAAGGGCAATGCAGGCTTCAGTGTAAGCTTCCCCACAGTGGCCTTAATCCTTTTCAGAGCTCACACCCTGGGGGTGAGAGGACAGGTTAGTGGTGCTTTACGTATGACTTCTCACTCCTGTACAAGAGGAACATAGATTTTAGCGATGATTCTTATCCTTTTATGAGAATAACATCATGTGATAAAGCTAGTCTAGAAGAAGATGATTCCAAAGTATCTGGGCTTCTATCTATTACCCTATCACAGAGCTCACTTTAATTTCCTTTTTCTAGACATTTCTTCATTTCACCTTGCTATTTTTCTCATTTGTGAACTAGCTCTAATATAGTCATTCAGCAATGTTAAAGTAAAACATAATGGATTCAAAAACATCATTTCCCTTATTAAATAAAATGTATGAAATAGATCTGAGTAACAAGTTAGTAGTAGCAACAGGATAGAAACTTTGTCTTCTATTTCTATTGCTTTTGGCTCTTTTGAAATTTTTGGTAGAACTGTGGAAATAAGCCAATACATGCAAAATGCAAAAGAAGTTAAAATGGTCTGGATATTACACAAAATAGTTAATTAAAACTTTGATTAATAACAATTAATATTAGGTATGACATACTGGGTACTCCTATCATCTTCCAATGACAACGCTTATATAATGTTACACTAGTAAAATACAAATGAGACACCTAGAAATAGTAAGTTACCACAATTAAAAATTAGGGTTTCACAAAAATTCAAATTTGGCTTATTATGAACCATCTTTATAAATTGCTCTAAATATCCTAACTTTCTAAGGAATAAATTATTATTCTCTATAAACAAATTATGTGCCATTAGCTATAAATAAGCCTTTCAAGTTAGCAAGAAATCATTTAGAAAATCTTGAATGTATTACTCCCCTACTTAATTACCACTATTACTTAATAGTATACTCATTACCAATGATTCACTTATTTACAATCAACTGTTTAAAAATGTGGTTTTTCAGAGAAGTGATTTTCTAGAAGTTGCTAATGAAATCAATGCAAATTTCATGGACTATAAAGAACTTAGAGCCAAGGAAAAAATGTTATGTGGAAGCTGCAACAAAATTTGTCTGAACTTTTCCCAACGAAATAGCATTCCAGTCGGTCTTTAAAACATAAAATGCTAAGCTATGTTAACAAAATGTATAAATAGAATGTCTCACTAATAACTACTTATAAAAATTCTGTTACTTTAACTTACAAATTAAAACTTATTTGAATGAGAATCATTATAACATCACAGAATATCAAAATGTAATTTCAAGAGTTCAATTTCTTATTTAAAACAAGTTTTAGTTTTAAGCTCCTAAATTTATAATGCATTTATTAATCTTTTTTTGCATTTATTAATCTTTAACTGGAATAATGTTTCAAATGTATTCATAATCTTATTTCTTAAACTTAAGTAATTTTCAAATAAGAACTCTACTTATCTCTTGACATTTGTACAAATTCAAATTGTTAAAATAAGTGAAACAAAAATGTTCGTTGTTATAACTCATTAGAGGGAAACCATATAAAATTTTAAATGTATTATTT